GAATGGAGGGAAGAGAGGGAGATAGGAACAGGAAAGACAGAGGAATGAAACTGACATTGTTTCCCCATGTACATATATGAAAACAAGACAGTGAATCCCACCACTGTGTACATCCATAAGAATGGAAACTAGAATAAGATGCTTGTGTGATTACATCAGAATGGATTCTGTTGTCATATATAACTAAAGAGAATAAATAAAAAAAGAAAATTAGAACTTTTTAAAATAAAGAGGACTTTACACACACACATATACACACAAAACCAACAACAACAACAAAACACTGGTTAGCCCATCAACATTGATGTTTCCTCTTAATTCAGGTACTACTAGGGGAAAGTGCCAAACCTCAATAATTAGGACAATGTTCCTATGAAATTTATCAAATCCCAACAAATAAAGAGTCCTTATTTCTCATTCATCCATCAAATAAGAACTACATGGGGGTCACACTTTTGATATTTTGGAAGGGAACAGTTAAAATATTTTTAATCAGGAAGAAGTCATTCTCCCAAGTTACAGAAAATTATTTTCACTTACTAATCTGAGAAATGTCCTCAAACTATAATTACATACTTTGGTATAGTCATCCTATTTTCTTTATGAAGTCCTAAGTATAAAACATTGGTAAAATTAAATAATACGAAGAATCCAAGTACATTTCCAATTCTCTTTGAATATGAATTTATAAATGTCTCTCTAAAATAAAAAAATGAAGGGAAATATATATATATATACCTCCTTTAACTATATCCCATAATTTTCCTAACTTTGCTCTATTTTTATTGTTTCTATCATGTCTAATTTTTTTTGTGTGTGTGTATGCTATTGGGGATTGAACTCAGGAACATTCTGCCTCTGAGCTATATCCCCAGCCCTTTTTAAATTTTGTTTCCAAACTTGCCATCTTCCTGTCTCAGTAGCTGGGATTACAGGTGTGCATCACTGTGCCAGGCTGTGCTTAATTTCTAATATGCTACATAATGGACTTGCTGATTGTATCAAGTGTTTGTGGGCTATATTTTCTTACTAGAATATGTACTTCACAAGGGCAGGAATCTTTGTTCAGGGATGTATCCTCAAGGCTTAGTAACTAAAACTATACCTGATATATGATCAATACTTAATTCATGTTTGGTGAAAAAATTAACTGCCTTCTTGTATGTCTCTGAAGAAAATAATTTTCAGCAAGTATATTTGTTGCAGAACCTTACATAGGTACTGCAGGGGTACAAAGTAAGTAAGACAGAGTACCTGTGGTTCTGTTCCTGCTGCTACACCAAAATAATGCAGGCTGGATAATTGATAGAACAGAAGTTTATTTCTCACTGTTCCAGAGGTTGGGAAGTCCAAGATCAAATGCTGGCAGAATAGGTCACTTGAAGGCCTACTCTTTGCTTCCAGGATGGAGCTTTACTGCTATGTCCTCACATGGCAGAGTGGGGAAGGCCAAAAGGGGATGAATGCTGAGTTCTCAAAAGGGTGAAGGGCTAGGAGGGCACTAGGGTGCTCCCTTCAACCTCTTTTAATAAGAGCACTAATCTACTCCTGAGAGCAAGATCCTCGTGACAATCATT